GAGATAACCCAGTCACAAAAAGACAAACATGGTATGTACTCACTCATAAATTGATTTTAGACATGGATCAGGGAAGTGTCAGCCCACAATCCCAGTGCCAGTGAGTCTGGGAAACAGTGAGGATCCTAAGAGAGACGTACATGTGAAGGGGAAGGGGACAAGATCTCCTGAGCTAATTGGGAGCATGGGGGGAGGGGAGAGAGAGCTGGGAGGAGAAGGAAAGGGGAAGAGGAGAGGAGAGGAGGACATGGAGAAGCAGGAAGTTTGAGTCGGGGGAAGAATAGAGGAGAACAGGATGAGAGATACCATAACAGAGGGAGCCATTGTAGGTTTGAGGAGAGATCTGGCACTAGAGATCTACCAGCTGACAATCTAAGCAATAGTGAAGAAACTATCTTAAATGCCCTTTCCAACTGATAACTTCCTTATATGGCATCCTAGAGCCTTCATCCAGTTTGGCTGATAGAAGCAGAGGCAGACACCCACAGCTGAACTGAACTGAACTCCTGGACCCCAGTTACAGAGAGGGAGGAGTGATGGGCAAGGGGGCCAAGACCAGGCTAGTGAAGTCCACAGAAGCAGCTGACCTGAACAAGGGGGAGCTCATGGACCACAGACAGATGGCTGAGAGGCCAGCATGGGACTGATCCAGACCCCCTAAATTTGGGTGTCAGTGAGGAGGCCCTGGCAATCTATGGGGCCTCTGGCAGTGGATCACTATTTATCCCTGGTGTACTAATGAACTTTGGGAGTCCATTCCACATGGAGGGATGCACTCTTGGCCTGGATACATAGGGGAGGGCTTGGGCCCTGCCCAGGATGATATGACAGACTTTGGGTGCCCCCACCCTCCCTGGGGAGTGGAGGGAAGTTGGGATGGGGGCCTGGTGGGAGAAGGAGGAGGAGAGGAGGGAGAGGGAGCTGGGATTGACATATGAAGCAGGCTTGTTTCTAATTTAAATTAAAAAAAAAAAAGAAAATACCAGGCTGGGTTGGTACTATGTAGCCCAATGACCTTAAACTCAAAGCAATCCTCCTGCTCTAACCTTGTTTGTTTAATAATTTTAAAAGCAATTAACTAAATATTAGCATAAGTTATAGGCATATTTTATACCTATAACTGTGTACTTACTTACAATTAACTCATAGTTTATGAATTTTACTAATATGATATATGTGTGTTAGGCAGGTGTGTACACATCACAACACTCATGTGGTCAGAGAACAACTTTCAGTAGTTCTCCTTTGGGTTGCAGAGATCAAATTCAGGATGGCAGGCTTGGTTGGCAGCATCTATGCTCACAATTATATTTTTTTGTTGTTGTTTTTGTTTTTCGAGGCAGGGTTTCTCTGTATTGTTTTGGAGGCTTTCCTGGAACTCGCTTTGTAGACCAGGATGGCCTCAAACTCAGAGATCCCCCTGCCTCTGCCTCCCGAGTGCTGGGATTAAAGGCGTGCGCCACCAACCCCCGGCCACAATTAGATTTTTAAAGTCATGTTTAAATTATGCTGTGAAAGAACAACAAAACAAAAATCAAAAGAATCCCTAACTGCCGTTATTGTTGAGATTTTTAACAAATGGAGTAATATTAAGATCATATTCAACCACTTCATATTGCCTAGCACTGTGATTTAAGTTATTCAAACTCCTTTTTAAATAACATGTTTGATAAGTAACAAATCTCTGTGAGGCCCTGAATATTTTCCTGTTGCTATCATCTGAGCAAATACCATGTACCTGGTAGTAATTATTTTTCCCAGTGTCCAATGCCGGATCTTATAATGCTCTATCACAGCCCCAGGTTTTATATTCATTATTTCTAGTCATTCATTTATTTAACCAACATTAGTTCAGCACCTACTGTATGGATACATCTATGGACCAGATATTAGTTCCTCCTTCCCAGAGATTACAAAGCTATAAAAGGGAACTCCGTAGGATGGGCAATGTGGTCTTTATTTTACAGATGAAGAAATCCAGGCTGGAGGCCTAAGGGAGACACAGCTGTCATCAGTGCTCTTTCCAGCAAACAGCTGCTTTTCTCCACTCATCCTACTTGGTTTCACTTACTCATCTTATTTCATGAAATACAACAGTTGTGAAAACAGATTGGAAGAGCCTCTGATGGGAAGGCTAAAGGTCTTGCTTTAAAGTCGCTGCTCTCAAATCTTCTGCTAACATAAAAAGCAAACGCTACTATTCCAGTTGTTTGGGATCACATATTGGCTTAAAGCAAAAGAAGAAATAAGGCCTAGAAACCCACATTTCTAAGAGTAGAAAAGCAGAAGGCTCATAAGTCTGGGAGATGTGCAGAAGCTTAAGGATTTTGTTGTTTCTTCTGCTCTGCCTGATTGTCACAAGGGTGGCAAGCCATGGGGGTCCCAAGGAGCTCCTGTGAGGAGCCAGAAGCTTTGCTAGGTCTTGTCTTCAGCAGCATGTACTTTTGTTTGCTTCCTTCGGCTCTGCCTACACGGGGCTGCTACAGTTAATTATCAGGTGCAGACCTGAGCAGCCTTGGAAAGGCATCTACTGCAGCCTTTCTGCTGCCTTCTCTGCCATTTCTTCCAACTGACCTAATCAGGTCCCTCATGGTGCTGGTGGAAACACAGCGGAAGGTACAATGCCCTAGGAAAGGATTGACATCGCCAAACTTGTCCTTTGTCAAGGTTCTACAAAATGCACTGCCTTACACGAGTAAGGTACTGTCAGCCATTCTGACAATTAACTATCCCTTTACGGCCCCATGTTATCTTCCTACAACACTGACCATGCCACTTCCTTCTGCAGACTGAAGGCCTCTGCAGACTGTGGCCAACTTACAGAGGGAAGCTCAAATACAAGACGATACAAGAATGCCTGTCAAGAGTCTGAACCTACCCCCACCTACTCTTTCCAGCCCTTATCTTTCTACACCAGAGGCATGCAGAGTCAGTTTCTATGCAGGCTGTGATCTTTCAGGCCTCCACACCTCTGCTGTTAGCAGCGTCCCCTTCCGCTCTCTAGCTAGAGAAATTAAGCTTATTTCTTAAGACCCCAAGAAAAGGATTTCTCCTCAGCAAACGCTCCACTAGTCTTCCAAGCAGCCTTTGTAGCCCTCCTCTGTGCTTCTACATTTTGCTTACATTCTTATAGCATTAAAATAACTAAGCGTAGTTATTCAGACTTTGCAAGGGGAATCTCTAAACATTACTTTTTCCCTTACCAGAGCCATCTAAAATCTCCCATTTTTCTGCCTAGTGCAAAGCAAGGTTTCAATGAAATGTCTGTTAATAGAGTCAATGTTGTAAAACACAAACCACACAGTGAGAAATGATGCAATTATTCCATACCAGTTTATTTTAGATATTGTGCTTCAAAAACTTTATCATAAATAACCTTTCATATCATAAAATAACTTAGTCCGATTTATAATAAAACTTCTGAGAATTTAACATCTCATCAAAATACATTAACTTGTAGCTTTAAAATACAATTAATCCTTTTCACTTTCCTTTTACTTGAGGGCATAAAGACAAAAAAAAGTACAAAAACAAAAAACCCAAACTATTGCTACACATTTAAGGTTTCAACAAAGCAGTATTTGGCTTATTTTAATGTAACTCAGCCATCCTAAATCAATAGTTTTCTTTCTTGCACAGTTCTTTGTAGTTTTTGTCCCTTTTGACTTAGATTTCTGTTTCAACACAACTTCCTTCTTTATTTTCACCTCTGTCCATCTGCAAAGTCATCTCCTAGCCCCCATGTAGTTGAACTCACTCAGCCCCTTGACATCAGTTTCTGTAATCCTTGCATCAGCATAGGGAGTAACTGCTTGAGTAACTACAAAGGTATTTCAAAACTTCAGTGCAATTTGGTTCAGTTATTTCCATTGAGATGCCATCACCGTTCGGGAAGATTAATCACTGGAACCCACTGGTCCATGTAGCGACTTTCCCGGCAAAAGCAAATAAGTTGACTTAAGGCAGGATCCTTCCATTGTGATGAATGTGGGTTCTGAGAACAAATTTATAAGAATTACTTCCCCATAGAATGATCAGCTTACGCTACTAATCGTATTACTTTTGAAAGGGCCAAAACCTGAGTATTCTGTAAAGCAGCATTTGGCAAAGTCTAAACACCTGTAATGCACACTGGGCCACAGAATTCTGCGGAATTATCTGTACCATTCTGCACGAGGTTACCATTCGTAAGTCTGCCCTACGAAGCATGCACCCTAGCGGGGCCATAAGTAAAGCAGTTCTGAAAAACATTCTGTGCGCACACGGTGTGAAGCTGCAGGGCGGGCAGCTGAGCGCCACTCTAATCTTCCCTGGCGATGCAGGGCACTTTTCACTGGCAGCAAAAGTAATCAGGGTGCGTGCCACTTCCTTACACCAGTCAAAACAGAGAAAGGACAAAAACAAAAAACCAGAAGACCAAGACAGCACATCCTCTCTCAAAACATTATTCAATCATCAGACTTTTGGGGGGAGGGGATCTAAACAAACACAAAGGTTGAGAGAAAAGAATTCCACTCTGTACACTCCAGAGTATCTCCAACGAATTAATAAGGTCTGTCTCCTACACTATTTCTGTATTTAGCTTTGACAGCAAACGAAGAATGAAGCTGGCTTCTTAATGAAGGGTGAGCCGGGAATTTATTTGGCTTTATCTAATCGGCCCTGCTCTAAGAATTAGTCATCAAGGTAGTGCAGAGGTAGGCAGGGGTAGCTGGGCAGCCTGCTGACTCACAGGGCTATCTTTCGCCGCTGGAGGCCACCCACGAGCTTAGACACGCTCGATACCATCAGAATCCCCGCGAGACCAGCGTCCAGCACGGTCGAGGTCCACCCCAGCAGATTCCGGGCTGCAGCCCCGGGTCCCTTACCGTCACTAGCACGCAGTGCAGGTCAGGGGGGCTGCGAGGCACCCCCGCTCTCCGCCGGGCCCGCATCGCTCTCCAGCAGCAGCAGCTCAGCCAACCGGCCCGGGTTGCTGACCCGCAGGATGTTGATGTCGTTCTCGCAGCAGAACGCCTGGATGAGGGTGAAATGGATCTGCAGAGCCACGTCCCTGTCGTCGTCCTCGTCTGCAGCCAGCAGGCACAGTACCACGTTGTCGGGGTCGCTGCGGGCAGCGGGGCAGCGGTGAGTGCACACCGTCCGGGGAGCGCGGGGTAGAGGCGGGCGGGCGGGCGGGCGGGCAGGCGGGAGGCAGGGGAGCGGGCGGCCGGGGCCACTTACACATTGAGCAACTTGGCGGCCTCGTACACGCCGACGGTGATGGTGCGCTGACTCCGCGCCTTGCTGAGCACTTCCTCCAGGGCATCTCCCACCGTGTCCATCCTGCGGGCCGCAGGGCGAGAGCGGGTCAGCCGGGTCTCCGGCCGGGAGACGGGCAGCGGCCACCGAGTCCGCAGGCACACTTACCTTTCGGTCTTCTGCTCTGCGGCCGAGAATTCCTCCAAAGTCATATTGCAAGTGCGGGTCCCTCACGCGGCGCGCGGGCTGCTCCTGCCCCCCCCCAGTGCGCGGCGCCGGCTCTGCGCTCGCTCGCTCGCTCGCTCGCTCCCACCCGCCCGCTTCTCGCCTGAGTCCCCGTCGGTGACGACTGCACAGCTGCCTCCGGGCCACTGAAGGACAAAGGGCCCCCGATTCCGGAGTTATGGGGCCAGCCCTCAGCCAATCACGACCGGATCTATTTGCATGCGAAGCACCCATTGGCTTATGCAAATTAGCAGACTTTGACACTCAATCCCTAACTCCAGCAGCCCAGGCAGAGTTGAGCGGAAGGGGGCGGAGCTACGCGGGAGGTAAGCCCACATAATGAGAGTGGTGCCGAAACCGGGTTGGTGGGGTCCTGAGCCAGCTCTGGGAGTTGGTGGAGCCATCTGGTGCGGAGGGCTTTGCTGAGGTTCAAGTGTCCTCAGCTCGGACTGAAAACAGCCTGCCAATTGTTTTTCTAGTTGTGGACATCTTGTGATTGTCGTCTCGTGTTGTTTGTGTTCAGGGGCTGGTTTTACAATTTATTTCCAGGGTTAATGCACCCCGGTCTAGCTGTTATTAGTAAGCAGATTATATTTAAAGAGTGTCCAGATATGACAGGAAAGAGCTTGCTTCAAGAAGTATTGTTTATATGTAAGTTTCGGGCAATGCTACTTATTCACAGTAGTATTCTTTTGGTGCCCTGATGGCTGGCTTGATTTATTTTTGGTTGGTTGCAAGAATTTGAAGCTCCAAATAGAAAACCCAGCACACTGGTGTGTAGTGATGGCACGGTACCAAGTTGGAATCTTTTCCACGAAAAGCCGGTAAAACTTCTGCCCATTCCATATAAGGTGGGTGGGGGGAGCTGGTGATCACATGCCTAACGAGCCAAATTCACCACTCTTAAAATCTTTCCTGAGGACACCTTCTGATCAGGTAAGAGCTGAGAGACAAATTACGGTAATCACAGGATCCACAGTCTAAATTCAATATGCTCATGCCATTCCCTGGGCGTCCCTTCACAGGCAAGAGTATGACACCACCTTCCACTGCCTATGATCTCACTCTGAATTACTGATGCTGAATCATGAAGCTGTAACCATAGAATATTTTAGCCATGTGCTAAAATTTCACCTTTGAGATAATGGCAACTTGTAGGTGGAAGGCAAAACTTCATAACTGCAAGCAGGAGTCACACATTAAAAAAATTTTTTAATGCAGACTTTTACTGAGTACTTCAAAAGTCCCTTTGTTTTATGAGCTTATTTGCTAAATACAAAAGCATTGCCCCATCCTACTGAAGTACCCGAAAGTGGCAAAATTGTCTCTCATATGTTTGCATTCGTAACAGTGCTTATCCTGAAAGTCACTGGGAAGCTTATAGTTAACAGAAGTAAATTTTGCAGGGGTACATGTGAATTTTGCATCCTTAAGTTTTTTTCTTGTCAACAAAATATTTTCCAATTTCCTTGATCTTAACTTAATGGAAGGAAAAGTGATAGGTTTGTTTTTTAGTTCACTTATTGGAGATGGACTTTTGCATTCAATCCCTAAGGGCTTTGTCATCAAGAGACAATGTTGAGTAAAGAAACGAGTATCAGTATATGGCTCACCCTAAGGGTGTTTGTATACCTCATACCTGTACTTTAAATCTTTACATGGGATATACTTGTTAAAGAGTTTCTCAACATTGGGCCTGGGAGTCTAGCTCAATGGTAGAGCAGTTTCCAAGCATGCTCCAGGCCCAGGCCCAAAATTTTATCCCTAGCCCTGCAAGATAACAACAAGGACAAAATTTCAACATTGAAGTTTAGGCTTCAATTGTGATGGCTAACAGTGATTTTCACCTTAATGGGGATCTAGAATAATCACTAACATAAGCCTCTGGGCATGTCTGTGATGGATCATCTAGACTAGGTTAGTTGAAATGGGAAGACCCCTCTAAATGGACAGTAGTATTCCATGGGCTAGGAGTCATCACCACATATAAAAAAGACAGCTAGCTTAGCCTGGGCATTCTTGGCTCATTCCTGCCTGGGGATGCCAGGTGAATAGCAGCTTTCTGCTCTTGCTGTCAGGTCTTTCCGGGATGCACTCTATCCAGGAACTGAGAAATACAATAAACCCTTCCTTCCTCAAGCTGCCTCTGTCAGGGATTTTGTTCCAACAACAAGACAAGTAACAACACAGGCAAGCACTAAAGCATTTTCAACTATGTAAAACTAAAATCACACAAAATTATCTGAGTCATCTTTTGGAGATAGGTGAACTGTGTTCCCTAGAACTCGAGGGTTCTACCTATTAGAGATTTTTTAGAAGTTCTCTGGAAGGAATTGTGATTGCAAACTGAACAGAGAATTAGACGAGCACGTGACGGCAGAGACTATGACTTCATCAGCTTGGTGTCTTCAACACCCAGCACAAGTCCTATATTCAATAGCAAAAGTGAGTGTCATGAGTTGAAAAGAATCTGAAAATTAACCAACACCTCACAATCCCACAGTTCTGTGCACGAATTCCCAGAGGATCCACCTTTAACATAACTTCAAAACACAAGCACTGAGCTATTCCTGGTCTTTGACCTACAAAGACCTCATAATCCAATTGTCATACACATGGTATTAGTCAGGGTTCTCTAGTTCCAAAATAGCACTGTTAGTAGCACCAATCTTGTGAGATTCTTGTACAAATATATATATATATATATATATATATATATATATATATATGGGATTTATTAGAATGACTTATAGGCAGGCTTTGGTCCATCTAGTCCAACAGAGGCTAGCTATGAAAATCAAATGCAGAAGTTGCTCAGTCCATGATGTCTCAGTTAGTTTTCAATACATGCTGGAATCCCAAAGAAGTAGATTCTAATGTCAGTGAGGGAAGGGACTTGCTGGCAAGGCTAGAGCAAACAGGCAAAGAGCAAAGGCTTCCTTCTTCCATGTCCTTATGTAGGCTTCCGACTCAAGGTGTGGCCCAGATTCAAGGTGTGTCTTCCCGCCTCAAGACCAATGTTAAAGGTGTGTGTCTTGCCACCTCAAGACCCAGATTGAAGGCATGTGTCTTCCTGCCTCAGGGTCTGGATTAGAAGTCGGTCTTCCTATTTTAAGAAAAAAAAAAAGAATCCCTCACTGATGTGCCCTCCATTTTTGAAGTTTAGATTATTCCAGGTGCAGTTAAGCTGACAACCAAGAATAGCCATCACGCCCGTGCTTTAATTGGATTTTGGGACAAAATGGTATTTGTTGTCATCAGCTAGCTGTAACTATAGCTGTTACCAGTCCTATAACTTTCTCATATGAGTGGAAGCTATGGGACAGTAGAACCACGGACTGTTTACACCAATTCAGACGAAACGTAGCACGATAGTGCCCCAATAAAGTCAGTTATATTAAGTTAAAAATGTGTATAAAATAGTGAAACATTGTTTTAATCCCTCAAAAGCTGTTCTCCATGCTATGTTTAGCCTTATAAAAATGGCATTTTATCCAAGTCTTGAAGGAGTCTTCTGGTATTTAAAAATAATCATGCCATATTTTCTGACTCAGCTTGTGTCATAATGCCTCATTGCTGAGTCTACCCAGAGTGTTTCATCGGGGATTGTCTTCTGTGCCTGTTATGGTTGGAAATAGGAACTACATTCAGCTTCCCTGCTAGCTTGCAGTTGTATACTAGAGACCCTGGATCATAGTGTTTATAATCAGCATTTCTCCAAAATATGAAGTTATTGTATTGGTTAGGGTTTCTTTTGCTGTGGTAAAACACAGTGACTGAAAGCAACTTGAGAAGGAAAGGGATTATTTGGTTTTCACACCCTGAATCACAGTCCATTGAGGGAAATCAAGGTAGGAACTCAAACGAGGCAGGATCCTGGAGGCAGAAGCTGATGCAGAGGCCATGGAGGAGTGCTGCTTACTGGCTTGCTCCTCATGGCTTACTCAGCCTGCTTTTTTATAGAATCCATGACCAGGGGTTGTACAACTTACAATGGTCTGGGCCCTCCCAAAGAAGTCACTAGTTTAACACATTACAGCTTGCCTACAGCTCAATCTTACGGAAGCGTTTTTCTCAGTTCCCTCCTCTCATATGACTCCAGCTTGTGTCAAGTTAACATCAACTCTCCAACATAGGTACTATTTTGTCTGTTTGTGACAAGGCCTCACGTTCTCAGTCCTCCTACTTCAGCCTCCTGAGCGCTGGAATTATAGGTATGCACTACCACACCCTCTTAATGTTATTTTTAGACTGCTCCAGGTAGTTCCAGGTATTGAAGTACAGAGGACTAGAATGACATTTTAGTTATATTTATAAAAATTCTAAATGGCTGTGTCTGGAAATTGTGGGAAAATATATAGTAGATAATTATCAAATTGTTTTACTGCTTTGCAAATTAAAATCTTTGTGACATCATTCTCATTCTTATCATACATGCATTCCTATTACTGGTTCTATAATATAGAATTACAGTGTTTCCCTCTTTAAATGCTACTGACAGGAAAGTGCTTGGTTTAGAGAATTACAATGTTTCCTTTATTTAAAAAGTAGCCGATGCTATGGACAGAAAAGTGCTTGTTATTTCATTGTGAGGTAGGTCACTGTCCACTGCCTAAAACTGAAAATTGTAAATTATAAAATCACAAGGCTTCAGTTTTTTG